TGGGGAGGCCCCTGGTGCTGCAGAGAAGTGCTGGGGGCACCAGGGAGAAGGTGCAGGATGGTTCCTCTGCCCATCAGTAGCAATTTGTCCCCAACCCCAGTCCCACCTGTATTAGCATGAGATGCATCCCCACTGGGTTATGTTTTGAGTTCCAACCCCATTCCCACCTTTATTCCCATCCTATATATCCCCAGTGGGTTGTTTTGAGTTCCAACACCATTCCCACCTTTATTCCCATCCTATATATCCCCACTGGGGTATGTTTTGAGTTCCATCCCCATTCCCACCTGTATTAGCATCAGATAAATCCCCACTGGGTTATGTTTTGAGTCCCCAACACCTTTCCCACCTTTCCCATCCTATATATCCCCCTTGAGTTATGTTCTGAGTTCCCTACCCATTCCCACCTCATTCCCACCCTATATATCCCTATGGGCTGTTTCCAGAATTCCCAACCCATTCCCACCTCATTCCCACTCTATATATCCCTATGAGCTGTTTCCAGAATTCCCACCCCATTCCCACCAGCCACATCCCCCGAGCTCCCTTTTCCACCTCCAACCCCAAGGACACCTCTAGGAGCTTCCCCAGGTGCTCAGCAGTGTTGTCCCTCCGCGCTCAGACCGTAGGTTAGCACAGCTCTAAGGCTTTGCCTGTTGCCTCCTTCTCCCTCTGGCTTTTCCCAGATTAATTAGCAACATTCCTCCTTAAAAAGTTCCTTCTTTTCGCTCCCAGCTCCTCCCAAAGCATTTCAGGACAGAGGGAGAGGGTTTAACTGTTCACTGCCCCAGGAGATACAGCAAAGAACACATTCCCTATGTTCTTAGCCTGGTTTTTGTCTTTTTTTTTGTGAGGGCTAGAAGAAACTCTGAGCTGCAAATTAAAGCCTAACTCTTACACAAGGTGATTCCAAAGCAGCTCCAGGTTACTCCACCACCTTCAGCGTGTGGAATTTGCTCCCAGGTGAACACTCAGTGCCTTCATTTGCTTCTGCATGTTGGGGGTGGCTGGTTCGGGGCGTGCTGAGCTTAGCAGAGATCACTTCCCACCCCTTTCCCTCCCCCCGAAAATGCCAAGGGAAGTTGTTGATGCATAAATCAGCCGCGTTGACACCTTGTACTGACATGACCTCCTGAGCTGCTTCCAGCAACAGCTCCAACTTCCCAGCTTCTCCCTCAATAAATTGCATGGAAAGGATGTGTTGTGGCTCTTGCTTTTTCCGTAGTTGGGGTTTAAAGGAGCCAGAGAATAGGTGGGAAAAGTCTCTGGAGGAGGAAGGAAGAACCAACCACTTTGGTTCTCCTCCTTAGGCAGTTTGGAAGGTGTTGGGACTCGGAGGGAGAGAGGACATTGATGCTTGTTCTGGTTTATTTACCACCTTAGATCACATCAGGTCTAAGATGTTTTCTAGCCCAAGGAACTATTGGTTGCCAGAAACCTCCCACAAAAGTCCTGAGCACCGTGAGGTGATGTCTCCCAGGCTGTAGCTTCATCCCCCATCGCAAGGTCCCAACAACTATTTGATCCTTCCATGTCACAGCAGTTGGCTGAAGTTGGCCAACACTGACCCTCTGGTCTCCTTGGGCTGGTGCTGTGTGTGACCAGAGTCACACAGGTCCCAGCCATAAAATCCCTTCTGCAGTGGCTTTAGGGGGACAAAGTGTGGCATTGACCCTGCATGGCTCAAATGCAACCAGATCTCTTGGCCAGAATGGGGTGGGACCAGCTCTGCCCCAGTTTTGGAGTGTCCCATGCAGAGCTCAAGGTGGGAGTGAGTTCCTGGGGGTTATTGCATGGAGAAACCCAACATTGACCCTGCATGACTTACATTTCCATGCGTGACTTAAATGCAATGAGATCTTTTGGCCATAACGGGGTGGGATCAGCTCTGACCCAGTTTTGGAGTGTCCCAGGTAAAGCTCAAGACTGGACTGAGTTCCTGGGGGTTTCTGCATGGAAAAACCCAACATTTCCAGGGGCTGATTCATCTGGCCAAACACAGGTGCCTAACGTAGCATGAGCTGCATCAGGCCCCGACTGGCTGCACCCAGGAGGTGTCTCCTGGCCCTGCAGAGCCTGGGGCAGAGGGATCAGCCCAAACATAGACATCGCCACGCGAGACGCCTCCATGTCCCCAGACAAATCCATCCCTCCCTCTCATCTGTCGGATTCGCAGACATTATCATCACAGGGGAGCTCTTCCTGTCTCCAGCACAGGAAGAATTGCAGGTCACACAACACCAGTAATCTCTTCCCTCTCACAGGGCAGAGCTCTAATTGCAGCCAGAAACAAAGTGATTATTATGGAGAGACACTGGGAAGGACCTTTGGGGAAGGAGCTCTGGGGAAGGAGCTCTAGGGAAGGTTCTTTATGGAAGGAGCTCTGGAAAGAACCTTTATGGAAGGACCTCTGGGGAAGGTTCTTTATGGAAGGACCTTTGAGGAAGGACCTTTATGAAAGGACCTCTGGGTAAGGGCAGGAGATGTCATTGTCATGCTGAGAGGAGGTAAAACTTCATCCCACTTAGACCAGTTGAGTGTCACCCTCTGGGTAAGGGCAGGAGATATCATTGTCATGCTGAGAGGAGGTAAAACTTCATCCCACTTAGACCAGTTGAGTGTCAACCTCTTGGTAGGTGAGGTGAGTCATTGCCCTCCACCTCTGCTCCTCTCCCAGTGGAGATGAACGAGATGGAGAGAGGTTCCTGGGGCTTGTTCTGTTTCATTTTCCTGCCAGGACATCAGGCAGCTCTGGCTCATTGCCTAGACAGGATTTCCTGTGTGGCATCAGGAAGTCACTTGGCCATAGCCAAGTGTCCAAGCTCCAACTCTGGAGAGGAGTTCGTGGCAGACACGTCCCACCTTGCTCAGGAGGGTGTCCTCGTGTCCCCATGGATGATGGAGGAGACCTGGACCATGCACTTAGTCTAGGTGGCTTCACTTCTTGACATTTTCTTCTCCATCCCCTCGACCACGATAGGCTTCGTGTCCTGGTCCTTCCTTGTGTCTGAGGAGGCTTTGCCATCCCTTCACATCCATCCCTGGGGTGACTCAGCTTGGCTTTGCTCCGAGGCCACTTCCATTGGGTTTTGCTGTTCCTGAAAGAGGCACTTGACGAGGAAGAGGAGGTGGAGAAAGCCACGACGCTGGCACCGAGGTTAGACCTCACCTGGTTGACTCAATGTGTTGCTCTGCCCCTACTTGGTGTCTCTTCCCCCCAGGTGAAACCAAACAGGCTCTGCATGACACTCCCAAGCTCAGAGGGGTGAGATCCCAGCAGTTCCCAGGACCTCCAGAGCTTTTCCT